AGTAACAAATTTTGAAACGGCATCACCCTTTCGGAACTATGGAACAAAAATTTCAAATCCACGCATCCGTCATGATCCAAATATCATTCCTATTTCCCTTTTCCTGATTTACAGCCGAGCCGAAATTTATTCCTTCCTGACGTTATATTTTCTTCATATTCGAATCGGTTCACGTAAAAAATACGACCACTAAATTATAAATAATGCGTATTTGTTTATTATACTGCGGAAACTGACTGTATTAGGTACAGTTGTGTCTATTTTTGGAAAATATTGATTGCAAAAATAGCCTGATAAAGTAGTAAAATGATAGAATACTTTAAAATTTATTTGAGAACCTATAGTTGACAGCCAGTGACTTATCTTCACAGTACTGGGCCTCTTCTACTTGACAATGTTTGTCGTTATAATACACAAAATATGTAACAGAATGTTAATGAAATAGTACAGTATTATTTTATAAGTATGTCTGTCTTTTTGATGAAATAAATTACTTATACATTGTAAAATTAAATGTTATGATATTTTTAGGATAAAGCAGAGTCCGATGATATTCTTAAAAATCCTTTTACATTCAATAAGCTTAAGCGTGGGAAGTAATGCAGCTGTTACTGTAACGAGCATGATCAATAAGGCACTGACTACACAAGCCACTTTTAGTACAAGCGACTGGTAATTTAGGGTGGTTTTGAAAACCACTGGATCTTTACCTCATGCAGGACCTGTTTTTAAAACCCAAATGAGACTTTAGGCTACCCATCATAGAGAAGATCAGCACATAATTATATCTGTTTTAAAATATTACGTTCAACTGGTAGTATAAACTAATTGCACTCCAGGGCTATTATCGCAGACGAATAAATTGTTATACAAATGGAGAATATAATAGCAGCTCATATGCAAATTATAGAATGTAATAGTGGAATTGGAGGTGCTCATGTGCAAATATTACTCGCTAAAATAAAGACCGTTCCCAATTACACTAGAATACTAGTTTCTGCATTGTTGCTAAGCTATAATCCTGGTCTGTGTACACTAGGGATTATTTAACACTCTCATTAGAACGAAGTGGGGCCCATTTGATCACTTTGCACGCGCCACGTGCAATATCCAACTGTAATGCTCTTTCATACGACATGCGGTAACGCTGCGATGAATTTATAATTTTAATGGGTGCGACGTATTGTTTTTGTTGTTGTATTGATTTGTGTTGTACACTGGCTTATGGGTATACATAAATAAAAGTCGCAGATACTTACTGTAAAATTTGTAATGAAAGATGGTAATTTTCATTGTTATCAGTACTGAAAGGTTTATTCATAAAAATATATAAGAACTAAAATAAAAGAAAAGAAAATTTTATTTTATCTTTGGTTAATTCTAGAGTAGCTGTTCTGAGCACAACAGCATAATGTAAATAAATTCTATTAGTATTTTGTTTACCGACACCATTTTAAATCAAATGTAGCTAATATTTCTTCAGATACGCTCTGTGCACGTAGTTATTAAGTTTACTAAAACCGTCCGTTACTAGACAATCAGTCTGTAAATGCTCTTACAATTGTCGCAATTGCAAATACAAGTTTAAGTGAAATTAGTTAATAGATTCGATGGTATTGGACATTTGTCTGGCAACTATAAACAAAGCATTGTTTAGAATACCTAATGAATAAATACATACTTGTAATTAGTTAGCGGTACATGTAATGTAGGTACGTTCACTATAAAATTAATGAAGTATGTTTAATTAAATGTTTGGCTGTTCTTCGAAAATTGTAGCATTTTTATATGAAAACAGTTTGAAGTTAATGTTGCTCTGAGGAATTTTTCGTTTTTGAAGTTTTATTAATTCATCGTTTTTATTTGATAGTCTATTACCTAAGTATCTGTTTGACGTTTTCATTATATGAAACATAATTTTTACACACGAAACATTACTTTATTTAATGAATATAAACATTTACAGTAATGTACTTAATTATACGGCTCAGAAATACAATAAATTATTTAAGAATCTAAAGATTTTATATCAATAAAATCATTCAATATTATAAAATACTTACCTACCATAACAATAAATTACAAAGTTCTACATAAAAATATCCATAATAAATATTCAAAGACAAAAAGAAATACAATACTTAATTTAGGTCAAATCTTGAATTGAATAGTCGACCTACATACATAGGTACTTAGTTAAATATTTGTATATATATACACAGTTGTTTAATATATAGACACAGTAGTAGGAACTGTGTTAGAAATAATTTCAATATGAATGGATTATGACGAGTATGTTTTTAACATTACGCCTTTTATCTCCGAAGGGGTACGCAGAGGTGCACATTATGCCAACGTAACACCCACTTTTCACTATTTATGTTATGAGTCCCATGTAATAGGGGGTGAGCCTATTGCCATATACCGAGCACAATTCCAAGCTCCGTGCTACTACTGAGATTTTTTTTAAAACCCAGTAATACTTTGCTCGACCCGGGAATCGAACCCGAGACCCTTGCCGCCGCAGTCGCACTCGCGACCGTTTAGACGCATTAGACGCAGATGAACCAAATAATCGTATTCCACCATTATTTATTTGTTTTCCACTAACAACACGTTGATTCAATTTAATTGCGTATATTTGGTCGAAACACGCAATTCAGATTGATAAAACAACTGTTAAGGATGGTGTCATCGCTTATTTGGATCAGTTCAGTAATTTTACTCGACGACTCCAGACATATTGTCTACGTTATAATGTATTGGCACAAGAATTGGCTCCAATTCACTAAAAACAATTTCAAAACATTTAATCGCTGAGATTTTTATAGCTTTCATAAATATTAAATTATGTAGATAATTGGATACGTATTTTTATGAGTTCCGCAGACCACCGTGAACATTAAAGAGCTATTTTGAAGGGACGCGTTTCATTTTCAAGGAAATTGTTGCTGGACGCCATCGTCTTTGAACATCGGCATCGCGTCCTAAGAAATTATTAATGTTAACACCCTAAATTTATTCATTGCTTATGACTAAATATTACTCTCACAAACTTCCTGTTATTCTCCGAAGGTATATTATTATACGTGTCACTCTCTATTGCGACGCTCAGTTTGGATGAGTTACGGTTAATATTAATTTATTGGCGTAGGCATCGTCTAATCGAAGTTAAAAATAAACTTTTGCGGTATTTATTCAATGAATAATATTCAACTTAAAATAACCTACACAATATTGCCTGTTAATACACTCTTAAAGTACGTAAGTAAACTTGTGACGAATCTGACGATATCGACCCAGCCAAATGAATACCGAAGTGGTACAAGGTTGAACCAAAATTGTACATTTGTGTCAAAACAAATATAAAATCGTATCAATAGCAATTTAGGAACTAAAGATAAGGTTAATTGGTTTTATATTAAATTTGACAAGATATAAAACCTACCGACAGTTTCGTAAGGAATGAGAATAAAAGTTGCTTAAGAATAAATTGATCAAGTACTTACTTAAAACTGTGTCAGACATGAATGAAATTTGTTGTTGAAAGTTAATAATAAAGATAATGTGGCTGGCAAAGATATAAGAGATACCTAACTAAAAGATAGCATGCTAGTTCATTAGCCTAAATAAGATATAGTAAGATGTTTTTATTATGGTTATACTTATATTAAATTTTTATGAATGAAAGTTTTGGTATGTACATATATTTTATGGAGTGAAACACGTGCAATTGTCTCTTTATCCACGAGCTATCTGTCATACTCGATGCTTGCATTTATATACTTAGGTAAGATTAATCGTTAAAAACATAAGAGTGTATTACAATGGTACTATACTAGCTTGTGACTATAAAGCCAGAATATAATCTGCCTCTGTATCATTCGGATCTTTTTAGCCAATATTTTCGTCATAACATTTAAGGTGGATCAAGCCTAGAGAGCGCCCTAGACAAGCACCTCATACGAGACCGAAATTTTTTGGGCAGTTGGTTAACCGTGTCTCCCGCTTCTCTTCTGTAACCTAGCGCCCTAGACACTTGTCTAGTTTTCGTTACGGATAATACGGACTCGGTTCATAGTACAGAGTATGTCTCTGCATCAAAATGTCATTGTAAGCAAGGCAACCAGCATCCAAATTAGGCACGACTGGCGTAACATAAACACCGTCCATCGTCCATGTGACGGCGGATGTCCGACCGAAGATGTTTGTTTTATCTTTCGAAGGATATCCTCAAGTGATATTATTAGAATTGTTCGTATTATTGATGTGTTTCATATTAACATCTGTCTTCTTCAAAGGTGCTGTGAAACTTCTTTCTTTATCTTTTATGAAGCAGTTGTTAGATCTACATTTTGAGAATCTTTCTTCTAAGGTATTTTCGCATTTACTTTGCGATTTGCACAATTGTTTCGACATAATGCCATGCCTCTTGTTATGCGTAAGGGTAGATAAAGGTGCACATATTAAAATCAATACCTACTTTAAACCATTTTTGTTATGGTTTTGATATCTTTCTCTATATATGATTTTGTTTAATGATTTGTTTATACAAACTTATAGGTGATCGAAGCTGCAAACCATCCAATGCCAACGATAAGAACGTGAATATGAATTACATAGTAGATTGTTGCGTGCACAGTGCATCAGTGTGTGCAGTGCAGTTGTATAGCAAAGTATGAGAATTTATTATGTTTCTTCAAATATTATAAGAATTAATCAATATTGTTAATTTATTAGAAACGATGGTTTTTTGTTAAAACATGATGTATAATTTTATTTCACGGTTCAAAGTATATTCTAGGACTTTTATTTAATAGTAGTTAATATTATATTAAAAATACATACCTACGGGCTATTTTGATATAAATTCGTGAATTATTTCAAAAACATATTCTGCTGCCAACAGTTCTAATTAAATAGATACTACAAGCATTTCGTAGTTCTTGTAATAATTTATCTTAGATTTACTATATTTGTCTTATGTGGGTAGTACTTACCGCGGCTATCAGCAAACTAAAATAAACCAGAAATCCAATGTCAATTTGGGTTTGTTGATTCAATTCCGGGCCAATATCGCTTGATTTCTTTGAACACGCTTAACAAGGTATAATAAAATAATGTCACAAAAATAATCCTCAAAACGTATTTTAACGTTTCTGTCATCACAATGTTTGCTAATAAAAATAACTTTCACTTCCACATTCACGATAAAATTTTGTTCGTTAAATATTATGTTCGCGCCAATTTATTTTATATTTTTCGGCACACGCGTGCGTCGTCCGCGGCGGTATATGTCACACTGACATAACGACGGTACAGCACAATGCGCTCGCGCACGCATTGTCAATAAAGTTGTACACATTATTTCTTGTAGTTGCCGATCCAAATGTAACCGTGCTGCTTAGAGTGAAGGGTCAAAATACAATATACACAGTACTTAAGTTACGTGAGCAAGCAGGACGGAATGAGTCATTCTACAATCCACAGCTGGCTGCGTCATTCATAACGGGTTCTCATTAAAATTTCGCTACTATGACGTCACGTTAAGGCTTATAATCGATTGATTTTTGTTATATTTTATTGTATTCTTACAATGGACGGTGTCCCATTTTTTTCGTACCGGTGTAACTGCATGTCCTGGTGTGGTGAGTAATTTTTTTAAGTCTGCCTTGGAATCGTATGTAGGTAATTGCAAAAATGAATGGTATGAAACCGATTTTACTAGAAAAAGTTCAAGGCCACTAGTTTCCACAGTATTTGATTTGAAGTTAACAAAAACTTATTTGGTAACCAAGCAGAAACTTATTGCTCTAAATAAATGAAAGAAATCAATTCACTGTACTCGCTTTTTATTTATTTACTAATTGTTGCCCCTTGACCTCGTCTGCATGGGATATGAATTTTATAACATAACTTTATTTGTCGCGGAGAACCTAACGGGTAACCGGGGCTCCGACTCGACGTGCAGGAGAAGGAACGGGGTGGTTTTTAGTCAGTAAGTCTGACACTCCCTTCCGCCTCACCCAGGCGGGAGCAGTCATTCGATGAATTTCCCCCCTTAAAAAAAAAACATAACTTTATTTTTGTTTCAATTTTCTCAAACCAAAGTTACTTCTTAGTAAGTACATTAGTTACCTGCCAATCAAAGTCTTGCAAAGTTGATCCAGCCATTACAGAGATTAGTCAGTACAAACAGACAGACAAACCGACAAAAAATGTAAAATATGTTATTTTGGTATGTCCATCGTATGTACCTATATTCATATGTATGTAGTAAAAAGCGGTTATTTTAATATTATAAACAGACACTCCAATTTCATTTATCTATATAGAAAAGGCTACATTTGCAGTACACCGAATTGAGTACTTTCCTTAATCAAAAATAAATTATTTCGACTGTTCAGTAAATATAGAACAATAATCACACGTTCATTAATTGATTTTATAACCAACTTAATTTAAGTATTTTTCCAGCAAATTTTTAAGAAATAAGTATGCTGTTTGACGCTAAAAAAACGTGACGTCACAAAACACAATCTCGTAAAAACTTCGTAGAAAATTCTCGTTTTTGACAGTTCAAAAAGTTTTTTGAATTTGACTATTTAGCAAGTACGCAATTACAAATAACAGAAGTTAATTAATTAATGATTCATTACGTAATCGTTGCTTTCTTACCCAAGTAATTGCAATTTATAATAATGATCCATAGTTCCATACTAAATTGCGAAAAAATCTTAATGGCCGTTTTTATTCCAAGTTTCCTAGTAGTTGCAATGAGTCACACTTAATATTTTTTTTTTTTATGGAATAGGAGGCAAACGAGCAGACGGATCACCTGATGGTAAGCAATCAGCGCCGCCCATGGACACCCGCAACACCAGAAGAGTCACAGGTGCGTTGCCGGCCCTTTAAAAAGGAGTACGCTCTTCTCTTGAAGGTTTGAAGGTTTTAATATTGTAGTTAACAACTAAATAAATTAAGGAGTGAATTTGATACACCTAAGTAATACAATACTGTATTGACCGATGACCTAGGACTAGATTAGACTAGGGCACCTAGTATTATACCTAATTTATAAACAAGTAGACATATTTTACTTCCATAGTCCATCATCACCGTACGTGTGTGGGAGAGAGCCATGCTTCGGCACGAATGGGCCGGCTCGACCGGAGTGATACCACGGCCTCACAGAAAACCGACGTGAAGCAACGCTTGCGTTGTGTTTCGTCGTGTGAGTGAGGTTACCGGTGGCCCAATTACCCTCCCCTTCCCCAATCTCCTCAATTCCTGAATCCCTAACGTTCCTCAAACTCCTTATCCCCAAAAGGCCGTTAATGCACTTGTAACGCATCTGGTGTTCCAGGTGTCCATGGGCGACGCCGATTGCTTACCATCAGGTGATCCGTCTGCTCGTTTACCGGCTTATGCCATAAAAAAATCATCGTATCTGCCATAGGACGTCCACTACTGAACATAGGCTTCCCCTAATGTTCCATACTCCATAGTCCATATACTAACATTATATTTTGTCACAGGGAATGTGTATAAATCTGTCCGAATTCATGGCTTTGTAAATTACTGGATCAATTGAGGTTGAATTTTGACCAAAGCTAACATAACATTACGACTTATATCCCCGAAGGGGTAGGCAGAAGTACACATTATGGCACATAATGCCACTGTAAGTACAATGTTACACCCACTTTTCAATATTTATGTTACGAGTCCCATGATAATAGAGGGTGAGCCTATTGTCATATACCGGACACAATTCCAGACTCCTCGCTACAACAGAGAAATCAAAAAACCAATAATACTTTACCCGATTTGGGAATCGAACCCGAACCTTTGTTTGGCAGTCGCACTTGCGACCACTCGGCCAACGAGACAGTCCCGAAGATAGTTTGATTAATAAGAATTTCGATAGTCAAACATCTCAGTATCTATAGTATTTATTATTACTTCTCCTACCCTTATCCTAAGTAACAAGGGGTTGGGCGCATATCTTGTTCTCTTATTGTCCCTTATCAAACATTTGTTAATGTTAATGTTTTATTTTTGTCATCTTAAAGTTGCACCTACTATGTTGAAAGTGAACTCACCCAGGTGGGAGAATACCCAGCAGTCTATACGTTACTATTATGTACACAATATAGGACCTTAGTATTAATAACTGCTTTATAATACCAGACTAACAACGTTTTATTACGTAATACAAACGTTTAGATAATAAATTAATACAACAATAACTAAAACAATTCACTAGTTTAAGATTACACGGCAGCTTATCGTTTTAAACGATATCATAATGTGTTATACGAACTCAAAACGGTCATTAAGTATCACTCAACGGCCCTCTAAATTACGTTTAAAGCGTAATTACACTGGTAATTAAAATGAAATGTCGTTTAGGGGTGCACGTTAAAAATTAATTTATTCGCCGTACCTACCCAAATCAGGGTTTAATGTAAAAGACCTTTTGTTTTGTGGAGATATCCTTTTTAGCTGCAACTGCTTTGAGTCCAATTGTTAGTTGCTGGTGTTGAATGTGGCAACATAAGTAGGTTGTGTTATTTTGAAAGTTAGTCTTTGTTTCAAAGGTATGATTTCACTCCTAAATGACTGGGACAAATTTAAATGAAATAAATATATATATCCTTAAATATAAATAATTTCAAACTAAAATGTTTACACCTTAAAAAAATGTATCTTAAGGCTACCATGATGTAGAGTACCTAAAAGACGGGCAGCATTACCACGTTGAATGGCAATGCTTAACGTTTGTCCAAGGTAGCAGCCAGTCCTTCGATCACCTGAAGTGTCAACCATCCTCCTTACAAAAATGAAAGAAGAATATCATTATGTTTTTTTTTTAAGCGAAAACATAGAACCCGTACCCTCCATGATGAATTGATATTGCGAAAATCTAGTTTTATTGACGAGGATTAGCTAATTAAAAATCCCTATTTTTAATTCAGTTATTAAGGTTTTTATTAGATCCTATTTTTTATTTTGAATTGTATCTTTTAATGTTATGTTGCAATTTAATTTCGGACAGGAAAGTATAGCTTCTCTCAATTTTGACCGTGAAATCAGAGTAAACGCGATCACTGGGAAATCGACATGTATTATGATTTCTGAGTTTTTACCTCAAAATGAAAGTTTGAAATTACAAATCGAAAGTGTGAAACAGAGAGAAATGCTTCGTTCGATACCAAAAAGAGGTTGAATGCCTATTTCTTACAGGGATTTTTTTTAAAGGAGGAAAATTATTGAATTGTTGCTTCCACCTAGGTGAGGCGGGAGGACGTGTCAGACTCTTACTGACTAAAAACCACCCCGTTCCTTCTCCTGCGCTTCGAGCTGGAGCCCCGGTAACCCGTTAGGTTCTCCGCGACTTCTTACAGAGATAGGATTCTCTATATGATAAGTTTTTTCCTAACGATATGATTCCGTGCTTATTAGTAACCAAATATTTTTAAAATTAATCGAACTCTGAAAGTCCACTGAAACTTGCAGATACTATTTAATTCGACGTAAGAATATCACTACATCAAGTAATCATGTGTTAATTTATAGGTATATCGTTGTAAATATTATCAAGGTACATTGATCCTCAACGTAACATATATCATGGTAAGCCTTTTATCCCCAAAGGGGTAGGTAGAAGTGCACATTACGGCACATAATGCCACTGTACAATGTAACACCCACTTTTTACTATTTATGTTATGAGTCGCATGTAATAGGGAGAGAGCCTATTGCCATATACCGGGCACAAATCCAGACTATGTGTTACAACAATTTTTTTAGAAATCTAGTTGCACTTCGGGAATCAAACCCGAGACCTCTTGCCCGGCTGTCGCACTTGCGACCATTCGACAACGAGGCAGTTAGAGCAGATTGCCATAGAATATCATTTTCTGAAAGATAAAAAAATATACGTCAACGAAACACTATGAATTCCAGCTTACGAGCAAAAATAATAATAAATTCAATCGAAGCATCAAACAATCTAAATTTAAAAAATGTATAGGTATTTCAAATCAAATTAGCGAGTAATACAACCAGGCAGCGTGGAACGGATATTTTCTCGCACGAATTCCAATTAACTTCGGTACGCAGAACTTTTGAATTCACACCGTTTGAACCTGGTGGAATATTCTGAATAGCTATTCGACACGAGTAATTGATTAAAATTTAACAAATTTCAAGTGAGACTTCACAAAATATTTCACTGTTACCGTTTATAGCTCTTTTGTCAAGTTGCAACTGAAGTTACAAGATACACAATGCTTGTATTCACG